CGGCACAGAGGTGTTGGAGCAGAGAAATTTGGAGTTTGACTTTCTGCAGCCCCTGAACGATCTCAGAGCTGTGACACCCTGCCTTCAATGGATTTTGGGTCACACTGATGAGTGGCATGGCTCAGGACCAGGCACACCTGACATGGAGAGTGCCACATGGAGCGAGAGTGTGCTAATTAGAGCTGTCTGCTCAATGAGCTTAGCTTCAGCTGCTCGCAGAGTGTCAGCAGCTAGATTGGGATTTCCTCAAATTGATTTGTAATTTGAGGTTACTCAATTAATTTTTCTTTCTTTTTTTTTTAAGGTTTTTTTTTTTATTATATTTTATTTTTGCTCTTTCTTAGTCACACAAGTGTTTGAGTCCCTGAATCTGCCCCTCCTTCCTTCAACAGGTGCCAGAGATCCCCACCTGGGTGCCCTCTCCAACAGCACAGCCCTGACTCGGCAACCAGTGGGCCAAACCTCCCCAAATTCACCATCCCCATTAGGAAGGAGGTTACAAACAAGTAGGATGGAGGAAATTCAACCCTTTTCTTTTCCTTTTCTGGGCCACACAAGCCTTGCCCAAGGCGTTATTCATAGAAAAATTAGGCTGCTGCAAGATTCACTGGCGGGGTGCAGAATTTAAATAGAATTTTCTCTTGTCCCAGTTACACGAAGTCAGCCTGATTGTCCCATTCCCTATGCTGGTGTAAAGTGGGAGTAATTCCAGTCCTGAGGCTGGGATTTACTGCTCATTGGAGGGACAGATACCACAGGAGGCATCACATGAAAGCTGCTCCAGGCAGCAGCTCTCAGCCCTGGTAAGCTGGGTCACAGACTCAGAGGATGGTTCAGGTCAGGACCTTAAAAATCATCTTGTTCCAGCCCTCTGCCATGGGCAGGGACACCTTCCACTAGACCAGGCTGCTCAAAGCTCCATCCAAACTGTCCTGGATGGGATGGGGCATGCACATCTTCTCTGGGCAACCTGTTTCAATGCCCCTCCACTCTGATAGTAAAGAATTTCTTAATATTATCCAATCTAAACCTGTCCTCTTTCAGTTTAAAGCCATTCTCCTTTGTCCTAGCACTACCTGCCCTTGTAGAGAGGTCCTCACTGCGTGAGCAGCACTTTCCATCTGATGTGAAAACCGACATGGATGCAATTCAAATTTAATTTTTTCAAGCATTTTTTGTGGCCCAGCTTTGTGTACCAGCATGTTTGGAGGCAGGGAATGCAGAAAGTGTAAGAGTCAGTGCTGCAGAATCGTGACCCTGCGTGGGTAATGCTTTATGGCGCTCACCTCCCACCACTTCTCCCATGGAGCAATCCAAGGACCCACTTGCCTTTCCAGTCTTTCAAATCTCTCACTACTTTGAGGTTCACAGACCAGAATCATTGCTGTGTTGTGGCAGTTTTGTGACAGGCAAATCTGGCTGATTCCAGGGCAGGGGTGCTGTCCCAAAATAAATGGTGTTCTTTTAGGAATGGTTTGGTTCTGGGAGTGAAACTGTGGCTCCCGTTCAGAGACATCTTCTGCAGCAGCTGAGCCCAGTGACATGAAGAGCTGAACCCTGAAAAGTGATGAGATTCCTTTGCTGCTGCTGCTGCTGCTGAGCCCTGGCCACTTGTTCCAGCACTCAAAGTCAGCCATCTGCTGGGGGGAAATTCTGGTGCATCCTGCACTCAATGAACTTCCCCTTCTCCTTAGGATTGTTCCCCAAAACACGTAAAATACCCTGGAAATGGTGCCAGGCTTTACTTGTCCACCCAGGCAGTATGGTTCATAATTTATGGACTTAAAAAGCACCAACACAAACACTTCTGTGATATTATGGGATTTTCATGACAGAGATGTTTGTTCTGGTTTCTGTTCAGCTTTGGGGAAGTGGAGAAGAGCCCAGAGCTGTTCCTCACTGCCTGTGGCTCTTCCAAGAGGGAGCTCAGACCCTCAGCCAGGCTTCCCTCCTCTTGACTTGAGATTTGCAATCAGAGCCATTCCTCTGACTTCAGAGAGCTGCTGCTCATTTCCAAACATATGCTTAGGAATATAATCAGGCTTACAAATCTCCACTGACGGCAGAGCCGAGTGCCAGCTTCCCTTAACAAGTAATGCAAAACACTGCTGGGGGGGAGAGCAGCCCAAGCCTGCTATCCAAAGCTCAAAAAACCCCAAAACGAGAACAGTCATGGCCTCCTCCTTGGAAATTGACATTTTATGATCAAGATTGGAAATCTGTGGGTGCTTTGGTGCTGTGAGAACGTGATGGACCTGCAGAAAGGTGGTTATTGTGTTATTGTGCCACTGCTCTGCTGCCTGTGGGATAGAGCTGGCATAGGGCAGGAGGGTCTCTGCAAATAACAAACCCAAGGGAGAGAGAGCATGACCTTCACCAGCAACACCCAAAGCGCAGCTCACAGGAGCTGAGGGCTTCTCCCACCCAGCCCTGAGCAGCCCATTTCAGCTCCAGTGCCAGCAAAGGATGTCTCTGTGCTCATCCTCTCACAGGAGAGGCAGATGCAGAAATAAACGCCTGACACTGCTCAACATCACAGTGCTCCAGACACATCTCTGCTGATGGGAACGGTGGGGACTGTCAATAAACTGACTCATCTGCTGCCTGGCTGCTGCTGGAGCTGGAGGAAACAGTGCTCAAACTTTTGTGAAAGCTGCAGACACACTAGGCAGGACTTAGCCCAGTGTCTCCACGTTGGGCTGTACGTGTGAGTGAAGCAGAGGTGGGGTTAGCAGAGACTGCTGCCACTGGAATGGGTCTGGGACACTCCTGTGGGGATGGCAGATGTCACCAGGAGCCTACAACAGACCAATGCTCCTCTGCACCAGCAGCTGGAGGTTGAGGAGGGCTTCACATGGGCAGCACAGAGGCCAGGCTCATGTAGATGCCGCATCCAGAATTTACAGATCCAGTCTTTTTCAGTTGTTCCTGTCTGTGTTGTTCCTCAGAAGACTGTTCTGGTCATTTGGGCTCCAGATATCAGCAAGAGCATACAATGGAGAGATCAGGAAATGTCTCCTTGTGGAAGACATTGGGTTAAAAAAGGAGAAAATGCTTGAGGAAGGATGGAGTTTAAGATGATTACAGAAATTTGTGATGGGCCTCTCTGACTATTTCTCCCCTCAATGTCTGGCCACTGTTCCCAGCCTCCCTGGTGGAGAACAACAACAAATTCTTATCTTATTCAAAATTTGTGAAAAAACTCTATGAAAATGTTAAATCATCCATGCGAACCTTAGGAGCAGTGGAGTGGTTCTGGTCTGTGCAAAATCTCAAGGAAAAATTCAAAAATTCAAACCCTCCAGGAGACCATTCATGGTGGGTGGACATCTCTGGGGTTGCTGTTGATATTTGCTGCCCCGAGATGTGCAGGGTGTCTCTGTCTCTGCACAACTGAAGAACGAGTCTGGACTCTTCACTTTTCGGTCTTGAGGTTGTTTATTAATTCTTATCTATAAAATTTTCTTTCTGCCTGGCCGAGATCTGCTCAGCAAGGCAGCCACAGGCACTCTGACTGCCCCTGAGGTGATGTTGTCCTTTTATACTACAAATTACATATAACATACTTACACTTAATTCCCAATACCTATCATCCATGTTACATAGTGCACTTCTACTCTAACCCAATCCCAAAGTGCTAACACCACTGCAGAAAATGGAGAACAAGAAGAAGAAGAAAGGCTGGACACACCCAGATTCCACCATCTTGTCCCCATAACCCCCTTACCAAAAATCCTAAAATCTACATTTTCACCCTGTGATCATTTTGTTATTACACTATTCAAACCTGTGTGACTTTCACATCCTCATACAAAGTTGGCAACTTGCTCCAAGGGTCCAAATCAAATCCCCAGGTGTTCTGGGCAGCATACAAGGTCTCCGAGTTCCCTGATGGAGTCCTCAGCAACTCTGGACACCCAGAGGGATGTGCTGAGTTCTGACAGACATCCATTCAGTCGAGGCTCACTGAGACGGCTACAGCACTAAAAAATATACTAGAAACAGCACTAAAAGCAGCATAGCACCACAAAAAAACATGTGGCTGAGGTGACAAAACCCATTCCAGCTCCCTGGCTGCACTGGCACCCACCTGCACGAGGCCAAGCACATCAGCACCTCCAGAAGGAACAGGGCTGGCAGCACCAGGGTTCTGGCTGGGTGACCAAACATCCCACCCCTGCTTCGGGGCACCCCGTGGCCCACCGAGCCCTACTGTACATCCCCTGTGTGTCCTCTGTGCCCCTGCTCTCTGCAGAGGAAAATGGAACTTGCCTTTTGTCTGGCAGGGGTCAGACAGAGCCGGTTTGTTCGATAAAGCTTTAACGCTTTGTGAACACGCAGAAAAGCTCAACCCGGGGCCCTTTGACAATCCCCATTGTTTTGTGCCTAAAAAAAAAAAAAAGAAAGAAAGAAAAAAAAGGAAGGAAAAGAAATAAAGAAAGGCTGGTTCGATTTAAAACACCAAGTTCATGGCATTTCAAAGAGAAATGATACACAGTGTATGGATTTGTGTGATACGGGGAGATAAAGCTAGGAATAAAATGCCAGGCAGGAGCATTACAAATGCTGCTCTCGGGGGTGAGCCTGGTATTTTGCCATCTGATTATTTTAAGTGGTTTCCTTCTCTGCAGCAAAATCTCTGGCATTAGCTTCACATCCCAACTCAGCGTTTGGGGCAAAGTCCGGGGAAGGAAAAGGTGTGAAAAAAGATGAAAGAGTGAGTGATACTTTGCCCTAATGTCTGTCGTGCCTGGGAAATGGCACATAGATGTGTGTACGGTCCGCTTCAGCCACACTGGGCTTCATTGTCTGCTAAATTCATAAGCCACGTAATGCATCAGTTGCCAAGCAAAGCTGGGATATGGGAACCCTCCCTGCAGTTTATCTAAGGACTGAAATAAAATAAAATTAAAAAAAAAAAAAAAGTGGACTCCTGAAAGAATCATATGAGCTGGCACGGAGGTCAGTTGATTGAATATTTCATTTATTGAACGCGCGGTTGCCAAAATAAATAACTCGGGCAGGAAAGCAGGAGTCAGGAAATTGAATGTGGGGTGGTTTTTTTGTGTTTCTGGCGAAGTTTCCCTTGAGTGATTTCCTTTGGAGGCCGCTGCTGCTGCCCGCGGAGCGCATCCCGCTCCTCCGGCTCCTCCGGCGGCACCGCTCCTCCCCGCCAGCCTGCATCCACCCGCCAGCACAACAAAAATGTGCCGTTTCACTGTCCCTATAATGCACAGAGGAAATAGGATTAGGTCCAAATAGCGGCAAGGTAAGTAGGATTAATAGCTGGCTTAAATAAACTCCGCCGTTCCTTACAAGGCTGCGGGATATTGTTTCCGCCTGGCTGTGCTGCGTGCCAGGCAGCGCTGCCGTGCCCACGAGGTGCACGTGGAGATAAGGCTGGGGGCATGTTGGGAATTTAGACCACTTTGTGGGATATTTTTCCTTTTGTTTTTAATAAGAAACCCGAGTTTTGCCGTTTTGAGACGATGAAACCTCCCGATGGGGGAGAGGGGAGAGAAGGATGGAAGGGCGAAGGGTTGAAAGGATGAAGGCGCGGAAGGATAGAGGGATGGGGAGAAGGAGGGATGGGAGGATGCAGGAATGAAGGGATGCAGCCTTTGTGAACGCCTCTTGCCCCCTGGCGTCCCCTCGCTGCAAGGACAGCCGGGGATCCCGGGGAGGGGACGGGGGACACCAGGGAGGGGACCAAGGACACGGGGGAGGGGGACGGGGACAAGGGGAGGTCGCCACGGGCCGTCTCTATCTCTCATCGCCTCTGTCCCTAAAACCCCGACTAACAAATCCAGCCAAACCGACGCTAGAGACACTCCCGTGCAAAACTTGTTTCTCCCTCCCCAAAATACTTCCTAAAAATAAAGATCCTGCCCAGCTCCTCAAAGGCAGTTTGAAGAGCAGGAACTGGTAAAAAAAAAAAAAAAAAAGTGTAAAAAATTTAAAGAGTTGGTTGCTAGGAAGGGAATGTGGTGGCTTTTTTGGCATTTATATCCTCTTTTGCTCAGTCTCAGTTTCAGCTGGCAGATCAGGATCTGTGTGGTTGCCTCCATTAAATCTGTTTCTCATTGCAGGCTGACAAGGTTTTAAGAAAGGTTCCTAATGACCGATACAGGTTGGCATCGCAGCCGAGTTTTGTAATTAAACGTTACTGAGCAGCAGCAGTAGCTGGGGATAAATGTCAGGCGCTTTTTCTTTTACTTTTTTTTTTTCTTTTTTCTTTTTCCTTTTTTTTTTTTTTTTTTTTTTTTTTTGCGATTTTCGGAGGACAGTCTGGATATGTCACATGGAAATTGCAACTGCCAAAACAATCTACCAGGAGCACATCAATAAAAATAACTTCCACATACTTCCTCAGCGAGCCAAGGAAATGACACTCAGTGGCTGTCGATGCTGAGGATCTCCCAAATCCCCCAAAAAGCTGCAATTACCGACGGCCCCGGCAAATGCCCAGCCCCGCTGCGGCAGGACCCGCTCGATGCAGCCTGCACTCGTTAAATTGAATTTTTCCGAGAAATGATGCTCGGTTGGCAAATTGACGGTAGGGAAATAAAAGAGGGGAAAAGAGAAGGATAAGTGTGAGAGTTTTTGTGTGCGGGGGGAGAAGCGTCAGGGCAGGAGAGCTGCGGTGACAGGGAGATGCGGGCTCTGCAATGGGATGATCGGGAGGGAGCTCAGTCGGGGGTGCCCAGACGGTCCCGGTGCCAATCCCTGACCCAAACCGTGCTCTGCCAAACCCAGGCAGCAAACTTGCCTGATGTTTGTCCCTCCGTCTCTCTTTTGACTTTCTTGCTTTTTCTTTTTGATTTTTATTTTTCCCCTTCCCTTCCCTTCCCTTCCCTTCCCTTCCCTTC